TGTGTGTGTGTGTGTGTGTGTGTGTGTGTGTGTCTGTGTGTGTGTGTCTGTAGATGTGTATAAACAGACAGTGTCAGAACATCAGTGTGCTCGGGGTTCACGACTGTTCGGCCAAGTGCAGCGGACACGGGGTGAGTTTATATCTGTCTGACTGTCTTTACAGTTTCGCTCAGAAATGTATCTGAATGCTTGGTGAACAGCGTTTCATGTCGACTTTAAGCAGCCCAGAAATCCATCTGAACTAAATCTGATCTCATAATGGAGCAGTTTCATCTTCATAGACCTACATACTGTACAGTATTAACTCCAGAAGCCCATACAGCGCAGAAATCTTCTTGATAAGATGAGGAATCTGAATCTAATGTGACGCTCATGTCAGGATTACCATAATTACATGACAGCTCGTCTTCTTGTCCTCATTCTCATAAATTATTCATTTCTACGACGACGCTCATAATGCCAAACTGGGCTTAGTGTGATTTCTGTTCATAATGATGGCAAAGTGCATGACTACATGATTAATTCAAGTCAAAATCATATGTATAGCATAGCGCACGCATTGTTTTAAAGCATCTCGATGTTCATTTTACAGTATTGTACCTACATTTCTGTATCATGTTTTCATTTGTAAAATGAAAGTTTTGTATTTCCATTTAGCAATTAAATTGAGAGTTTACTAGGATCACTGTTGAAGAAAACATGTCCAGGTCATAATATATCCCAAAATAAATAAAGAAAAATTGGTCATACTTTATTTTAAGGTCCAATTCTCACTATTAACAAACCATTAACTACAACTTTCGCTTCAATAAACTCCTAATTTGCTGCTTATTAATAGTGAGTAAGGTAGTTAAGTTCAGGTATTGGATAAGATCTTGTCTTGTTTTCCAGTAAAGCACATCTAAATGTCTTTAAAACAAGACCAATTTACTTGGAAAGCAAAACTGCATACAACATGACTTGTTTTCATACATTCTGACATTTTGGTTGTTTTCACATGTATCAAAGTCAGAGCTTTAATGAAAATTTGATTTTCGAGCTCATAATTATGTGTTTGACTATGATGTGAATATGATTTTTACAAGTTAGAAACACAATTATAGTAATTTCTTTTTGTAGTTGTAAATTTTGAATGAATGCAAATACTATAGGAATAGGAAATGTCTTGCTCATTCACAATATGATTTCTAGAAATAGTTTTTGTTATGCTGAACATAATTATAGTAATTCTGGCTTTACTTGAATGCAACTAAAATCCACTGAGGACCTTTATTTCAAGTCATTCTCTCTCATATTGTAATGCAAGACTTACACATTCGATACAAATTATTCAAAATGCAAATGCAATTCAGGCTGATCTGAAATATACATTTTACTAAGGTTTCTGGTTTTACACATTTACATTGTCTGTAAGAGTTCCTGCTTTTTAAAATCTACATTTAATTAAGCAAAGCATGTTTAGAGACCAGATGAGATCTGTGTAAATACTGAGGGGTGAATCCTGACAGAGCGAACGTGTTTTAGCTCCAGCATCATGAAAGATCTCACAGTGAACACAGTCTTCCTGAAGAACAGGCCGGATTGGTTACAGCCAGGTTTGTGCAGATAGTGGAAGTCCATGAATGAGCTCATGAATCTCCAGATTAGATCAAGATGTTCCTCTGAGTCCAACATCTGCTGCTCATCAGCACCAAGAGAGAACCAGAAACAAATGCTGCCAAATGGAGGAAAGAGGAAGTGTTTGAGTGTTTTGGTAGATGTTGAGGAGGTGCATTTACAGACATTTTAGCGCGCTGGACATGACGACTGCTCAACACACACACACAAACACAAATAGACCATAGAGACATGCTGCTGGCAAAGTTGAATTCAGAATAATTTCCTGCCTATATTCTGTGTCATGTTTGCATTTGTAAAAGGAAAGTACTTTATTTCCATTTCACAACTAAACTGAGGGCTTACTAGGGAGGTGAATCTCAAGATAACATCTGGATCAAATTTCATCCCAAAATCTAAAGAAAAAAAAAAGTTTTTATTTTTTTTTTATTTTTTTCATTGTGACTTTGATTATTTTCATATAACCAGAAATTAATCATGATTTTAATCAGTGTTTTTATATATATAATA